TTAGGTAGCGCCCACGTTTAACATTTCAAACTTACGCGCAGCCTTTCATTCGTACTCCACGCTCACCTCCGATGAGCTGCTGCTGGAAGTGGATCAAACGCCAAAGGTGAACTGCTATTACCTGTTGTCCTACGGCCTCTCACTCAGTGTGGTGGCCATTTCGCTGGTAATCGATCCCAGTACATATACGCAAAACGATTACTGTGTCCTCATGGAAGCCAATGCGCTCTTTTATTCCACCTTTGTGGCGCCCGTCTTGATATTCTTTGTGGTAGGTTCGAGTACTAAGCATTCAATAGTGCATTGCCTAATACCTAACTCTCTGAACAGGCGGCTATTACCTATACCTTTTTGTCGTGGATCATCATGCGTCGCAAGAGTCGAACTGCCCTGAAGACCAAGGAGCACACGCGATTAGCCAATGTGCGGTATGTTGCACCCTCTATATGATCTATACTCATTTGCACATTCCTTATTCAAATTCATTTGTATTTGGGTGTTTAGGTTCGACATACGCTGCTCGTTTGTCTTTCTATTGCTGCTTAGCGTCGTCTGGTGCTGTGCCTACTTCTACTTGCGCGGCGCAAAGCTGGACGAGGACGTCGCTCCTATCTACGGCTACTGCTTCATCTGTTTCAACACACTGCTAGGCATCTATATATTCGTATTCCATTGCATACAGAACGAGAAAATTCGACGAGAATATCGCAAATACGTGCGCCAACATGCCTGGCTGCCGAAATGCCTGCGTTGTTCGAAGACATCCATCTCCTCGGGTGTGGTGGCTGGTAATGGCGGCCCAGGAGTCGGAAATACTGCCAACCAGTCTGCCGGCACACTCTCCAAATCAAAGTCGAAATTGCCGCTGGGCGCGGGCGACGAAGCTCGCGATGTGGATGCACAGCAGCAGCAACACGATCTGCCAGCTGCCGAGGACGCCATCATTATGGGCGCTGGCTCTGACTGTGAGCTAAACGAAGCGCAGCAGCGTCGCACACTCAAGAGCGGACTCTTAACGGGCAGCTTGCAGCCAGCTCCAGTTGGTGCGGTTGTGCTCGAGCGGAACACGTTGCGTTCCACTGGTATGGCTAGCGTGGGACATGCATCGCCAACTAGCTCAGCTGGTTCCACGCACTTGATCTTTGCACACAAGCAACAACAGCAGCAGCAGCAGCAGYTGCAACAACCGGGCGAAACGTACTATCATCAGCCAGACTACTACAGCTGGAAACATCCGCCGGGGGGTCAACGTGAATACTATAACAATGCTGGCGGTGCAGTTGGAGCAGCTGTGGGTGGAGTAGGAGGCGCCTCGCCGCAGCAAGCGCATGAGGTATTTTATTGGACACAGAAACATAACAACCAGCATGGCAAGAAAAAGCGCGGAGGCGGGGCCGGAGCTGTGCCCGCGTCTCCTAGCGGATCTCTTCACAGTCGTGCCACGGCCACCTCGCAGGTGTTGTTTTACCCATCGTATAAGAAGACCACCGGCATGAAACAGGGGCCGCCACCACAACAAGCGTATCCACACTATGCTGAGGCCCTGGACCCACCCAATGCAGCATACTACCAGCAGCAGCTGCAGCAACAACAGTTGCGCCAGCAACGCCAACAGCAGCAGCAGCAACAACAGCTATCCTCGGATGAGGAGCAGGCGGAACAGCATGCACACCTATTGCACTTGCAGCACCAGCAAAGACGTGTGGGTGGACAGCAAYTGCCAGCGCCGCCGCCGCACATGGCGCAGTACCAACAGGAGTTGTTAGCGCAACAACAACGCCAACAGTATAGAAATAAGCATTCCAACTGTGATCTTAGCCAGGGCATGGGCTTAGGAATAAACATGGGCATGGGCCATGGCGATGCCTATTACAATCAAGGCGGCAGCAGCAATGGCGGCGGCGATGCTGGAGGGCCTGTCTACGAGGAGATTCTGAGTAACCGAAACTCGGATGTGCAGCACTATGAAGTGGGCGACTTTGATGTGGATGAAGTGTATAACAACAGTGTTGGCACGGGCGTCTTCAACAATATGCGAGCCGCAGTAGCTGCCGGAGGAAGTCGCTATGGTGGTGGCAGTCTAAGCGGAGGCAGTGTTACCTCCAGAAGTCAACAGCAGCAGCAGCAGCAGCAACTGAAGCAGAAGCAGCCACCACGACGTTGTGCAGCGGATGATGATGATGACGATGACGATGATGATGATGAGTATGATGACGAGGTGACAGCAGCGGAACAGCTGCACGACAGCGTCTGTGATGATGAGGATAATGAGAGCGATATTGATGATGATACGCATGGATTGCCACCTCAAAGTGATGAGCGAATGCGTCGCCTAATGGCGCTCCAAGACGAGGATTTTAAACGGCGGTTTCAGTAAGTAACTCGAACGACTGATTCAATGGACAAATAAATTAAACTTGAGTATTATTTGCAGACGCCAGCAGAGAAAGAATGGTATGCCCCTTGATTATGGAGCATCGGTCCAATCTGCAGCAGCAGCCCACCCAGACCATAATGGCGCGGTTTTTGGGGTTAGCGGCGGCGTTGGTGAGGGCTCCATGCGTGGCGCATACCGGCAGCAACAGACTGCCAAGTCGCCGAACGCACGCTTGGCGGTAAATGAGCTGTTTGGCCATGGTAATGCAGGACCGCCGCTGCCACCGGCCAATCAGACACCAGCACAGAAGCGTCAGCAGTTACAAAAACTATCACCACAGTCCACAACATCATCGTCGTCGCACACATCGCACAGCAATCCCCAGCATGCTCCTGCACACCACCTCCAACACCATCACACTCAACAACAACAGCAGCAGCAGCAGGCTCGTCACCTATCAGCCATGTTGGACGAGAATAATACCGTGCGCTGCTATCTGGAACCGTTGGCTAAGTAAGCAGAGCAGCAAGGAATAGTAGCCAATAGCAKCAGCAGCAGCAGCCCTCCACACCTTGCATGGCAGGCAGCAGCCGATCGTTGTCTTAGGCAAAAATTGTAGCTTAGGTTTAGCTATACCTCTAGTATTAGTCATTAGTCGAAATATGGAGCATTGTGTGAAACAACATGCTGTCATGTCATGCTATACGTGCAGTGATTCGAGAATCCCAAAACTTTATATGTATATGTAACTCAATTAGACCATAGGCTAAACAACCAAGCAACCAACCAACAAACCAAGCAACCAATGCGGAGCAAAACAAATGCAATATGCATATGAAATGGATATTGTCGATGCTCACAATTTATACCAACTCGATATATAAATGTATGTACTGTATGTATATGTATAATGTAATATGTAATGTATAACGTATGTGAAGCGCATACAGGTCACCCACATGCCATTTTTAAGTAGGATACCAATAGCATTACACCATATGTGTATATGTGTGTAAGATCTGAGAACTGTATGTAAATTATATTTAGGGCGAGCATATTATATATTTTATGTAATTTATAAGGCATATATATTGTTTATTTGATTTTTTGCTAATTAATATTTTTTAAGAAAACTTTTGTTTGTTTTGGCAATATTTTTTATTCATACACAGACTGTGTTTTTATTGCTGAAGATTTGTTTTCAAATTTATGGCAACAAAAACGTGTATTTGGCTTTCATGGAACGTGCTGTAAATTAAGCTTAGGTGCACGAAAACTCGTTTCAAACGCTGAAATGTAAACAATTCTTTTGCAGATTTGAAAATGATTTAACTTATTCAATTTTTTGCCATTTGTTATTGCATTTCTTTTGAACTTACTTTAAGGGAACCAGCAAAGCATTTCAAGTGTAAATTTTCATCAATATGCTTAAAGCACAATTATAGAGCATTTATTTTTTACAACTGTTCATTTCTGTCAATGAAATTATTAGAGCGCTTTACTATACGAATGAGACTAGAAAAAAAGTCAAATGTCTTTAGAATTAGCAATGCAAGAAAGGAAAACCGAAACAGTAAAACAAATATACCTACTTATCTAGTAAAGAAAGATTTCAACCAAACCTCACTTGTTAACTAGGAACTAACTGTAAAACTCTAAACTAGCTAACACAAAACTGAACTATAAAAGAGACACCTCTGTTTCCCGATATACATAAATATATATATATACAATTAAATATATATATGGCTCTAGATAATTTCCACGCATGTGTACAAAAAACCAAATAAAGACAAAAGCAAAGTGCAAAAAAAGAAACATAATATTACTCTAAATATTACTATTAAATATATACTGCCTGCACAGCTCTCTCCTCAACCCAGCAAGAATAAAAGTTACCATTAAATATAATAAATCAAGCCTAATTCAAAGCCATTTAGAAAACAGCAAAATAAGAAGAGATAACTTATAATGAGCACAAATACACTCACTCACACACACAGAAAAATTACTTCTAAGGCACGAGATGCTTCTAAATTTTATAAAGATAAAAAAATGAAATGAAATCACATAAGTTTACTACAGCATTAAATTTAAATAGGTGTAATGGAATGCAGTTTAGGGCAAAGCAGCAGCTGGTTTAAGTAAAATCAAGAGAAACTAAATAAAAATATATATTAAAAACAAAAGAAACGAAAGAAAAAACAGAAATATTGAATGTATAGTGTTGCGCCTCCTAGTACTTTAAATATATAATTGATCAAGAATATATTTATATATATATATCTGATATAAGTATATATGTAAATGGATATTTATGATTATAATGCAAAGCAAATGCCGATATCTATATAATACTTCTTTTTGTCTCTACATGTTTACTTTTGGATGGAAATGTAACAATTACARCAAATAGCAAAGATGAAATGAACTCAAACTGTATGGAATAAAAATGTTAATGTACACAATTTTTCTAATTAAGACAAATAAAGAAGGAAATTAAATGCATTTGAAATTGTTTAATTCTGTTTGGAAATTATAAATTCAAATTGTGAGCGATATGTAATCGATAATCGTTGTGGTAAGAATTTAGTGAACGATTAATCGATAGTTTAGCTTGAACATCTGTTTTTTGTGCATCGCACATGACGTCAATTTTAACAAAACAATGGCCGAGTTCCAATGGCCATGGGAGTACACATTCCCTCCATTCTTCACGTAAGTAATAATTAAACATAATTATGGTTAATTTACTCACTAATATATTATAGTTTGCAACCGCATGAAGAAACACGCCGGCAACAGCTGAAGGTGTGGACAGACCTCTTTCTGAAATACCTCAAACATGTAAATAGGTTTACAATTGGTATTAACGATCAAAACTTGCCACTATTTTGTAATGAATCTATAAATCGACGGTTGTCGCCTGAGCTAATACTGCTCATACTGGAGCAGTTGCAACAAAGCGGACATGCTGCCCCACTGGACAAACGACGCCAGGAGTGGCAAGTGTATTCGTACACATTGGAAGAGTACGGCAATATGGTCTATGATTGGATACAAGAGACTGGACAAACGAATAGTATTTGTACTCTCTACGAGCTAGTCGCCGGCGAAAATAGCACTCAGACGGAGTTTCATAATATGGACGAAGCCGTATTGCTAAACGCTTTGCGGCTGCTCGAAGAGAAGGGCAAATGTGAACTTATTGAAATGGACGGCAGCCATGGAGTTAAATTTTTCTGAAAAATATATTTATAATTGTGTTTGATGTATGCATAGTTTTAAGTACAGCCTCATAATCTTTGTTTTGCAATGTTCCTTTGTGCTGAACACAAAACATATAATTTACGGCAGTTGAAGAATAAATAAAATCAGCTGTTTATGTTCACAGTTAATATATGTAGACAATATACCTAATCAAACAACAGCTGCATTTGAAAATGTAATCTAATCAATGGATTTTTAGCCATTCTTAATGTTAAATTAAACTTCAATGCAATAAAATTTATATGAAATTGCAAATTCAATTGTGAATCATAAGAGATTTAAAACTCTAATTGAACTGCTTGCGTTCGTTTGGCAATGGGGTTCAATAGAACTAGCTCATAAGTGAGCTAGTCGGTTCTTTGCGCTATTTTGTTTTTTTATTTTTATCGTCCGGCGTCACACCGCCATCTATATTTTGTTAAATATTTGTACAGTTGTAAATAAATTAAAATGTTTAGTTTACAGCGATTTTAAGGAAATATTAATTAAAGTAATCTATTTCAGAGCGTGGAGGACCTTGTGCGAGACAATACGCGTCTCGTGAATGTTCATACGGTACTTCAGCACGCGGCTATGGCGTCTTTGACTTGCACGGGACCTCGCACACTTGGTCCAGATCAGAAACCAATGAGGGCGGAAAAAAACCAAACGCCCAGTCAGAAAGTCGAGCAATCAGGACTCGTCGAACCAGTCGAAAGCGCCCTCACCCAATTATCAATTACCATGCCAACAAAACGGATATCGCCCGTGGAGATTTTGCCAAGCATTGGGCCCGACCTAAACGACATAAATGCCAGCATTGTCAAGCGGGCGATAGAGACGGAATGTAAGCGCAGTGTGCGCCACCAATTGGATCTGATTAAGGAACGGCAACAAAAGGCGATCAGTGAACGCCTTGCCAGCCAACGTAACACAGAGCAGCAGCAGCAGCGGCATATCAATAGCCGGACAAGGCGGGAAGAAAGCCATAAACTCATAGAGAAACAGGCCGAGCAGCTGGCCAAAGCAGAGCTAGAGGCGCATCAGCGCGAGCAGAAGGCGCTGCTCAAGCAGAATAACCAAAAATTGCATCTACTAATAGTCGAGGGTGTTTCGCGTTGTCATCGGCGTTTCTGTAGCAAGTACGAATTGGTGACAAAGCTGTTCCTGGCCCTGGATAAGGAGACCGTGCAGGCGTGTGCCGCACAAAATAGTGAATTGCGGGAGCTGGCGCAACTGTTCGATCAGCTAGTTGAGAAGATAAAAAAGGGCGGCAGCGATCCGCCAGAATTGAGCTGTGTGTTCACAGCGGAGCAGTACTGCCAGCGCCTGGATAAGCTGGAAGAGAATCTACACAAACAGCTGTCGGAACAACACCAGCAGCAACTGGACAAGGCCAAAAAGTTGGCGGAAGAGCAAGAGAAACAGCGTCAAGCAGAAGCAGAGGAGCAACAGAAACAGCAAGCACTGAAAGAGCAGCAACTGGCAGCTGAGCGCAAAGCGACAGCTGAAGCTGCTGCAACGGCAGCCGAAGCTGCTGCAACGGCAGCCGCAGCTGCAGCGACGGCAGCCGCAGCTGCAGCGACGACTGCAACTGCAGCACAGGCGGCACCCAATACAGAGGCTCCAGCCACATCAGCACCAGCCCAGGCCCCAGCCCCAGCTAAAGCTACAGCCCCAACCCAAGCCAGCATCTCCACCAGCTACGTGCATCCAACTCGTTTGGCTTTCTACAACGAGATCATTGCATTGTATCAGAGCAAAGTGGATGCCGTCAAGCCACTTCAAACGGACGAGACATGGAAGAAGTATCGCACCAATTGCCAGCGAACCATCAACTTGCCATTGAACGCGATTACAGCCACGAGTGCACAGCACCTGAAGAACAACTTTGATAAGCTATACAATTTCTTTGCGGGCCAGCCGGTGAGGACAACGGATGGCAGTACGATTACCATAAACGATCATCCGTTGGCTAGGGATTACTGCATCCTGCTAATGGCCAAAAAGTTTGTTAGCCAAACAGACACCGCCATATCTAGCAATCCACAGGCCGCATTCCCATTTGCCTCCGTGATTGTCACCTTTTGGAAGCTGCTGCCCGACTTTGGGAAGATCTTCTTGGCCTACATGTACAAGGAGTCGCCATATCTGGTGCCTTACGTGATTCCCCAGCAGCCCGATCAAACGCCCGAGCAGTATTTAAAGACAATGGGCTATCGCATCACCGAGAACAATCAGCTGGAGAAGCCGGATATGTTCCTCAAGCGTCAAACGGGCATTGCTCGGCTTTATGCGGCGGTCATCATCACGCCTGGCCGCCAAGCCGATGGACCCTACAATTGCTTTGGCCTGGAGGAGGCTTGGGGCTGGCTCACCCACATCATGCAGTTGAAGCCCTTGCCGGACATATGCGCCACCATGATCATGGAGATGCTGCAGACACTTGGCTTCGAGCTCTGGCATGCCTACGGCATGAACTTCCTCAAGCTCCTGCTCTACATACAGAATATATATATGCCGCAGCTGTCGGCCTACGATGAGGGCGGTCCGAAGACACGCCTGGAAATGCTGCTATCGAAATTTTTACGTGAGCGTCAAATACCTCAGGCAATGGGCGTGCTGCCGCCAGGCTTCTGGTGACTTCTCTCTATATATATTTTATGATATATATATATATATAATTAAATAGTTCATAAGATTTAAATTACTTGTTATTATAAAGTTCGTTAAGATGTATTTTTATAAGACGAGTGTATGCGCCCTTTCTTTGTTAAATAAAGTCAAGTACAACACAATCTCTTCTCGTTCTCTTAATCTTTACACCGAATAGAAAGCATAGAAATTTCATTCTCAAATTATATATAAAACATAATCCTAACTCATTTGACTGTCTAAATTTGTTTGCAGAATGGTTCGATGTGACTCGGAGCCCAAAAAGAGGCCGACAAAATGTTGTGGGAAGACCCATATGCTGCACAATACGCTCTGCAAGGATAAAGCTTTTCTAATGTTCCTGACGCACTTTCGCAGAAATGAGAAAGTAAAGGAATACAATATGACCAAATCGCAATGCTTGACCATCGCCGCCAAAGTCTGGAATCGTATGTCGGACGTGGAGAAGTTGCCCTATATACACGAGGCGCGCAACTTTAAATATGTCTTCAAGTCGAACAACAATTGCCTGAATTGGGCCGTCAAACAGGTGCGACAAATACTCGTGGCCGATGGACAGCTGTATCTGCAACGCCTCTGGCAGCTGGCCTCCAAGCTGACAGCCTGGAATGATCGTGTGATTGACAATATTCCAGCACTGGATGGAAAGAAGCAATAATTGACATCTGTGATCAATTTGTGATTGTTTAACATGTGTGTGCGACATGTGGGTTTTGGCTTAACTGTACAATTGAAATAATAAAGTAATTAATAAGGGAGTACTTCTAGTTTCGACACTTTTAAAACTTGCAGCAATGGCACACAAATGTTGCAATGTGGCACGACAACATTTGTGCAACACGTGAAGTCACAATTTTATTGATCAAAAGTTGCTAAAGGCAGAACTCAGTATATGCAATTCAATATCAAACTATAACAATGCCCTGCAATCGCCGCATTCGACGTCTAGTCCTCCTCGTCGTCATCATCAAGATCATCCAGCTCACCCGCCAAATCTAAATCCGCAAACAAATCTTTGTTAATGGCGGGCTCAGTGTCAGCATTGGATACGGAGGCCGCTGCATCTTCGGCAGCGGCAGTCTTGGCTGCTTCTGTAGCTTGATCCAGTAATCGCGTATTGGATGCAATCGTACCAGAGCCATCCACCTCTTTAGCTGCCAGTGAAAGTGCTGCCAAATCGAGCTCCTTGAACTCAACGGTATTGTCGTCATCATCGTCGTCCCGTTTATAGATATCGAATGCAGCATCGCCCTCCTCCATGGGGCCATCGTCGACCAGATCGGGATTGAAGCTGAACATTTCGCGACCAGAGATGCCAAACTGTTTGCCCTTGCTGAAGTCGTTCTTTTTGCGCTCCTCGTCGGCTTCCAGTTTTGCCTTTTTCTCCTGTATCTTGCGCTTCTTCCATGCCAGAAATGATTCTAACGTCACCCGCGTCTGATTCGGTCCCAAGGCGGCACGCTCCTTCTCAATGAGATCGACCAGCGAGATCTCCGTTTGCTTCTCCTCCTTTTTCTTATCTCGCTTGAGTACATAGCCAGGCGGCAACGCATGCCGATAGATGCACTTTTCACCATTGGGGCACTCCCAGAACCAGCCATACTTGGACTTTTCCACAGCTTCCAAAAAGTATTTGCAAATCTAATAAAGAAACTCAAGTTAAATGAATATCAACATTGCAATTCCTGATATTCTCACAATATCCGTGGTCGGTCGTCGCTTTTCACCCGAATGCTTCTTGTCGATAACTTCTTTTAGCTTTGCATCGTCCCAGTTGGTCATCGGATCATCTTCGTTATCGCGCATATCGACATAGACCGAGCGTTTCTCCACCTTGTTCTCCAGGGACAAATCGTGCGAGAACTTACACTTGTCACCCTTGGTGCAGGTGCCCTGCTTGAAGAAGGCGCACACCACAGATTTCGGATCGGTACCCTTTTCCACTTTTTGCGTTTGCACCGGCTTGAAGATCATTGCCAACTCCCTCTGCTCCGCCAACTTCTTTTCTTTGTCCTCCTTTTTCTTATCGCCATCCTGTCGTGGATGATGACCGCCGGCCTGCACTTGTTTCTGTACTTGCTGAATGAACTTCTGTTGCTTGGTTCCCTTCTTGTTTTTCAGTCCAAAGGTTTTATCCTGTCAAAATGTATGAATTTAGTGAAAATGTTGACGTTGTATCGAACGGCTGTCGTCCGTCGTGGGCTTTTCATAGAGGTTATGTTCGACATAGCGATGGGGCAGACGTGCAATATTTGGTTTACCTCTATGACCTTCTCCTTTTTCTTTTGCTCCGTTTTTTTACTCGGACCGGGCGCCTTTTTTGGTGGCATCTTCGCGCAACAACAAATTTAATAAGCTGAATATAAGATCCGAGATGCGGAAAGTTATTTCTTATAAATTATAGCTAAACGGGCTGACACAGGAGCCACATAAAAACAGCAACGCCGTCAAACGAGTTCAACTACTACTGAATTATCGATATATCGTTTACTATCGATACATACAGGTTGAGCTACACAAAATAATTGTTTTCATTATATTTGTAAACATCTGGTAGCGCTGCAAATACAAAAGTAACTGAAAATTTGTTCAACATACATATTTCTAAATCCGCAAAATTATTCCAACTCTTTCACTTGCCAGTCCGACCGTTGCGGATTACATATACATAGATGCTTGTTTTGTATGCACACATGTTAGGGCACACATGTTTGTTTTTATTTTTATTTATTTATTATGGTTGTCATTGGTCGCTTTTTATTATTTTGAAATTTGTGTATGCCCACTTCAGCGCACATGTTCAAGTTGTACATATTTCAATTATCTTCTCAGCATATCTTGCTCTACCCTTCATAGCCAATACTGAATTTGTTTTCAAAGGTCTTTTCACTACACACACTACATACACGCACACATGTGCCTGAGCATCGTGGGTGGTCTTTTATTCGTTGCTTCGCCTTGGGTGGTCCAACTCTTGGCACTGTGTGGCTCTTTATAGCTCGCTCTCGTTCGCTCTCCCTCTGCTCGCGATTGCTGTTTGACGCTGGCTCTGCCAATGTGTGTGCGCGCTCGTGTGTATGTGTGAGTGTGTGTGCCCCCATTGATCATTTTCTCGTTTAATAGTGCGTGACGTTTTCATAATGCTATTTCGCTCGCACTAATTTATGCCGCTGCTGCTGCTGCGCTGCTGCCGCTTTTGGGTGCCCATTTTGATCCTTTTGAGTTTTTTATTCGAGCATAAAATTAGCAATTATTTGTTGTTTTTTCTCGTTTTTTATTGGTTTTTTAAGTGTGCGCCGGCTTCTGGGCGCCCAACAACGTGTGTGGCCTGAAATAACGAGTTTAGCTTTTATGATTTGCTATTTGGATTACGTTTTATTATTTTTTTCTAGGAAGAATTTTGTGTGTGCAAAAATAAAAGCATTTTATAACTTTTGGTAGCATAGTAAAAGGGTTTCTGGGTAAATGCGACTGCGCCATGGGAACTAAAGCAATTTGAATTATGGCACAACATAGGCAAATTTCACTGTACAGTTCAGCTTTAGCTACTATGCTATAGCAAATTAAAATATGCCCACCGGCGTGCATTCAAAATTATGACAAGCGCAACACAGGCAAATGTTGTTGGCAACACAGGAAAACCGTTTCACATGCAATGTTGCCAACAATTATTTGTGTTGTTGACAGCAAGACAGATAGCAACAGCAACAATTTGCATCAAAGCGAAGACAACAACAACAACAACAACGACAACAATAATATTGTTACTGCCGCTGTATAATTTACAGCGTGAAAGATCAAAAAACAAGGCGCAACAAAGATGTGCAGCAGCAGCAGCAATAGCCGCAGCAGCTTCAGCAACATGTTGCCAGTGCGCTGCCACTGACAGAGTTAGCAGCTTGGGATCTGGGCAACTGGGCAGCTTGGCATCTTGGTGGTCCCCGCCACCAATAACCGCTGTCTGTTTGCAGCTATCTCCAACTGCAGTTGCTGCTGCTGCTGTCAATCTATGGCGAAGGCAAATCTTGCTACTGTTTGTTATTGCTGCTGCACACACACACACAGACGCACACTGAGAGAGAGGGAGAAAGAGCGTGAGAGAGAGATAGCTTATAATTGCATATAGCGCCAGTTGCAGTTCCGGTCGGTTGAGTTTTTTTTTTTCTTTTCTCCCCTTTGCGCTGTTTGTCGGCTCCTTCTTCTTCTGCTGTTTGCTGTTCTTCTTCTTGTTGTTGTTGTTGTTGCTGTTGCACGCGCTTTCTTTTTTTGCGGCGCCGCCACCACAGACAAGCGCTCAACGGCCTCTGTCTCTGCCCCTATGTGTGTGTCTGTGTGTGTGTATGAGTGGGATTGGTGAATGGCATGTTGCCACCCAAGTCGCCAACTGTGTCTTGGTTGGCTGGCCAGACTTAATAGCCGCTTTCATTGGCCAAAGCTTGAACATTCAATCAGTCGGACCACACACGGCGCGATGCCGGCGTTGTTTATGCAACATGTTTGACTCTCTACAAACGGTAGCCATTCTTAATTACAACAACAACAACAACAACAACAGAAACAACAACATCAGCAGCAGCAGCAACAGCGGCTACAACAACATCAAAAGCCATTGAGATAAATCGGAAACGGATATCGCTAATGAAACGAATTTCCATATTTATGTGTTAATAAAACCAGCAACAGTCACAACAACAACATTCAGCAACAACATCAAACAGCAACAGCTACAGCAATATCAATAAAGTAGTCAAAAACCACATTTTCTACTTGGGCGGCCAAATCGCGTGCTTTTGATGCGGGCTCACGATGGGAATAGAGAGTATATCAGTTATTGTGCAATGCCCATGCATGCATGCTTTAAGATAGAGAATATAATTTTGGATAAAAGTAAGGCCCTAGTGGACACCCGAATACCCTTACAAATAGAGCGACATACAAAATTATGTATCTAACTATAAATATGGTATATATAAAACTTTTTGAACGTGTATTAGGCAGTCGTTACCACCAGCCTGCATTTACTTAACATTGTTTTTAATTTATACAAATAAATAAATGTATTTAATTGTTCTGATTGTTAGTGTTGGGCAATTAATTTTACCAAATTTAGTCAGAATTTATACCCTACACGTATTGGGGCATATTGCTACAGTGGCTACTATTCGGCATTTATAATTGTAGGTCTTGGCATATTTCAGCTAGGGTATATAGAGCACGAGAGAAGAGCAAGGGAATAAAACAATACGCTTATACAAYACACACACACACACATAAACACTCCAAATTTTAATCGCCTAGCTAGTTCTCTCAAATATTTGAAAAGAATATAAATTTGTTTCTCTATGGGGCTGTGCTTAGATGTGGAGCCCACCAACGTAGACCGATGGGGCCTCCATCAGCGACGCTATAATAAATGATTGATCGAAGCAGCTGTGTATGTGTGTGTGTGCGCGCATCTCTCTCACTCTCTTCGTCTCTCTCCTACTCCTGCTCCCGCTCTGCATGTTTGGGGTTTGCTTTGCGGCGTTGGCGGTGCCGTTTGATTGATGCGCTTTTGGTGCTGCGTCTGGGCTGGCGGTTCAGTTTTATACGTTTTTCACGCACTTGGTTGCTGTTGTTGCTTTTGGCATCTTTATGCTTCAACACAACTGTCAAAAGATTTGCCCACAGCAACAACAGCAACAACAACAACACCAGCAACCCAAACACCAACAACAGCTACAGCAACAGCATCGATCGCTGGTCTCTGCTGTTTGCAGCATGCTGTGATTTTTATCGCCGTCACACACGACCTGTGTGGTCCCATCCCATTTCATTCCGAACCGAATTCATGTCCATGTCCATGTCCAAGTCCAAGTCCAGTTCCACTTCAAGTTCCACTGCCAAGCTAAAGTTGAGCTGTTGTTGTTGCTGTTGCTGCTGCTGTTGTTGCTATTTCCGTTTCGGCTTGCGATTCTGCTTGGAATTGGGAATCGCTTATGCTCCTTCCAATGGCTGTCACCGAGTGATGTTTCCTTATTCCATAAAGCTCCACAATTAATTGTAGCGGTTGCAGAGTATGTAAAAGCTTTTAAGGCTTCTAAGCTTTCTAGGCTCAGGAGCTATGTTAACATGAGTTATGTTTATGTTAATTAAGCTGTAAAACGATTTGTAAAGTTCTGTAAAATAATTTATTTTATACAATAATTTATTAATTTAAAATATTTATTAATTGATTCTCTCTTATTAATTTATTGCAAATAAATTTTGTAATTTTATAAAT